AAAAAAAAGCCTCGTTAAAGTTTTTCCTTTATGGAAATGAATTATGAATACTCGCACAGCGTTTCGTTTACTTTTTATGAACTATAACCCCACATGCCCTTGCTCCCAGCATATTCCTGTTACCATTAACATGACTCTTACATCTATCAACTGAAAAAAAGTTATAATCGTTTGCGTTGAAACGCATGAAGGGGTAACGCTAAGCTGTACTAGGAAGTTCAAAGTTTGAATCATGTGGACTTTTCTACGACGTCTCAATCGCGACCTTTATCAATCTGGTCTTATTCGACCACTAGAGAAGTATTTATATTAAGCGTATAAAGGAATTTGCTAGATTGTCCAGACCTATTTTGGTATAGTAATCGATACTGATACTTGATTTTTCTTTTCAATCGGAAAACGCAGATTTTGTTTTGATGGGAAATTGCAGGAATACACGGAGGAACACGCTTCGCTTTCACCGAGAAATTCGATATCTCTTCCTAACGTCACTTATGTCGATATCTCTTCAAGAGCTGAGGATATCCAAGCTGGATTGATCGACACGTTCCTAAACCTTGAGAAAATCGACAAAAATTTGTTTCTGTGAGTTCATTGATATGGGATTTCGTTTTTAATAAGCTACCATTATTTAATTTTGATATATATTTAGCGCTCGCCATCTACTGAAAGGTAGGAATTCTCTTCCAGTTGTGTATGGCGGGCAAGTTATTGGCCAGGTATGGCCTTTCAGATCTTTATCTTTGCTGCTTCTGCTTTTTTTGATGAAAAATCTAGGCTCTTTCTGCCGCAACAGCTACTGTTGGGAGTGGATTCCTACCAAACAGTCTTCATAGTTACTTTGTCCAAGGTGGCAATGTAAGTATGCCAATCCTGTATATGGTTGACCGAATTCGTGACGGAAAAAGCTTCTGTACACGGCTCGTGAAAGCTGTGCAAAGCGGGGATGCGATTTTTACCGTGCAGATTTCTTTCCATAAGGTGAGATCTGTATAAATAGAAGATAGATGTTATTTAATCGTTCTATTTGCTGGGTACTTTGTGTTGTTTTCAGCCTGAACCCGATTCTATAAAGCATCAGGTAGAGATGCCAAAAGTCCATGGACCTGATGGATTACTGGATTGGAACCAGCTCATGGAAAAAGCTTCAAAGGTTTGATCAAACGCTTTCTTTGTGTTTATCTTTTTAAGTTTCTTAGCTTTTCTCTCAATTTTCATGTTATCTTCTCTAAATAA